TGAAAGGAGGAATCCACAGTTTTTTGTTGAAAGACATGTTCATCACACTGTTGGAGTTATGGTTTGGGGTGCTATAGCTTATGGTTCCAGGTCACCTTTAATCTTCATTAGAGGTAACATGAACGCGCAGCGTTATATCCACGAAGTTCTAGAGCCCCATCTTTTACCCTATCTTGACACCCTGGCAGATCCAACTTTCCAACAAGATAATGCCCGACCACATGTTGCAAGAGTCACAATAGACTTCTTTCAACATAATGATGTCACATTGTTACCATGGCCATCAAGATATCCCGACTTATCCCCAATTGAGCACGTGTGTAATATGATGGGTAGGAGATTGCTCAATTTGCAACGTCCTCCTCAGACTCTAGAAGCACTTCGAGAGGAGTTGGTGGTTGCCTGGAATGAGATACCACAGGAGGACATTGACCACCTGATCAGAAGCATGCCTAGGCGCGTTGGAGAATGCGTAGCACATCAGGGTGCATCCATACATTATTAAAGGTCAAAGGGCTTTAAAGCAGTGCAATCATTTTGAAATTTTTATCATTTACTTATTATGCTTCATTAAGTACTTATACAAAATTTTATTAAAATAAAACCATTTAAACTGGGTGTTCGGATTTATATGTCACTTAGTATATATTAAGCCCATCAAGGTCTGTTGCGTGCGACTTGATTTCATTACAAATTTCAAGAACTTTTTCTTCAGTAACAAGGTGAAGCTTGAACGGTTCAGTAACAGTAGGGATAGTATTGTGTAGATAATGGTTATATGTACTCTCATCAATGGGCTTCTCAGGCACAGCATTTACGAAAAAGTTATTTAACGAATCCGCTCCGATTGAATTTATAAATTCATCATTGCTATGTGTCCCATGAATGCAGGGTTGTTTGATTGACCTCCACCAGTCCCGAGAAGACTTACCTATCTTAAGCTGATGCTCAATATAGGCTTTTCTTTCCCGTCTTATAGAAGCAGTTACCGGGTTTCGTAGCTGTTTATAATATATCTTAATGCTAATTTAGTTGGATCCAACGCCGTCTGTGAGATGTGATGATTTTAACAGTAGGTAGATTTCTAGTTTGCGCGGACACACTATAACAAATTCTCATAGATGACGATACGGTTTCTCATTTTATCTCGTATAGCTTTTGTACGCAGGTATATAGTATTAGGTTGGCTACCTCCAGGAAGAATACGTTAGTCAATTACACAAAGACTAAGGATCCATGTTCGTATATACCAACGTTCCCTATCACCTTTTGAAAGGCGTTTCAATTCTTCCTGAATTCGCTGGCCAAGGTTATGCCAATTTCATTCCCTTAATATGTGATATTTTCGAAGAAGGCCTTGTGAGTACAGCTTTTTTGATGCCTTCGTATGAAGAAGATGCTGAAACTTCTGTGAAACACTACCCTTATCTTATCTTTATCTTAAAAGGATATTAAACGTGCACGGTGTGTCCGACTATGCTTTCGACCCCGTCTAATTTTTGTATACGATCTTCCGAAAGGAAAAGTAGTATGTGAATACTTGGAATCCGAGAAGAAAGGTTATCATCTTCTCTGGAAATACTCACGGTGTTACATTTAAGAAATACAACTTTATGCGACGGCACTTTTCTAAGGCACCCAGTATATTAAGAAATATTACATCAAAAACTCTATATTAGATCCTGTAGCATACCATTCTTTCTAAAAAGTCATATAAGAAGGTTAGACGGGGGAAATCGATTTGTATTCGATACATATTATTCAAGCATTTTTTGCAGTCATCCATTTCTCGTGCTTGATGAAGGCATCCTGATATTTTAATAATAATAGAATAATAATAAATGACTTTATTGGATACAACAAATAATCCTTTTACAAAGATAATTTAGAGAAAAAATACACAATAGATTGCCTAATATTGGCCCAAGTCTAGCGTAAAGCTACTCTACTGAACCAAAATAAGACAAAAAAAAATAATAATAGTAATAAGTCTTCAAACAACAATACAGAATAATCATAGTAATAATCCCGTGTCAACACTGAATGGATTGAAAGTAAATTAAAATTTCAAAAAGATATTAATTTTTCTACTTATACGGGTGTTTCAGTTTATTGTTGCATAACTTTAAGATTCGATAGAACTTTTAAAATTAATGTATAAAGTCTATATAAACATGGGTTGAAAAATGCGTGGCTGCCGAAATACAGGGTGTTTAAATTTACTTTCTAAAATAGTTTTTTTTTTAAATATTTCGAGCAATATTTGATGTATAACAGTGAAAATTGGTAAACAATTGTTTTTTGGTACGACAAAACGAACCACGGGCATAGTTTTACTGTAGCCACTAGAGATCGCTCTCCACTGTATCTGTAGTGTATTAAAATGACCGAAAAAATTTTCCTAGTGCAATTTTTTGCTTTTTGAATGAAAAACTGATTCTTCGCACTTTTCTGCATAAAAAAGCTCTCCCATGAGTTTTCGTTATAGTTAGCCGTTTTCGATATATTTCGATTTTTAAGGTTTGATGCATTTTTAATTATTTATGGGAAAATAATATTTTTCTTTACATTTTTGATTTTGCATTACAAGTAATTAAGATGATCGTTGGATAGTTAAGACAAACATACAAAATCTAATGTAGTTGTTCGAAATGTAAACCCAATTGTTCAATACACAATTCACATCTACGAATGATCGAACGTGGTATAGCATTATTCAAATAAGGCCTTATTTCATCACATGCATTCCTGATTCTGTCTATTAGCATATCTCTTGTGGTTACGGGAGTCTGGTACACTTTTTCTTTTAGAAATCCCCACACAAAGAAATCTAATGGATTTAGGTCAGGGGATCGTGGAGGCCAGGCGACTGGTCCTCCACGGCCGATCCATCTTTCTGGATAATTTTCGTCCAGCCAGTTTCTAACTATTCTCGAATAAGCGGAGCCAGGCCAATTTTCTTAAATCTAACATAACATCGTCCCACATATTTGCTTGTTCAGCCTTTAAAAATTCCAAGAAGGTCGCAGCATTTAACCTTGCAGGCAAAAGGTAGGGTCCAAATAGTCGATTAGGGTAGATACCAATCCACACGTTCACACTAAATTCATGCTGAAAATTTCTTTCCCGAACTGCATGCGGATTTTCATGCGACCAAATATGTTGATTATGAAAATTTGCCACTCCACTTCTAGTGATGCATGACTCATCGGTCCATAAAACGTTACTTAAAAACTCCCTATTATTTTCAGTTCTATCAAGAATCTACTGACAAAATGTGATTCTTCGTTCTCCGTCCCCTGGCTGTAGTCCTTGCACAGGTTGCAAATGGTAAGGACGTCTATGGTCATTTCTAAGAACACGGTGAACATGGCTTGCTGGAATTCCCAAGGCACCAGAAACTCTCCTAACACTTGTGGTCGGATCTCTATCAAACTCACGTAGAATCATACGGGTAAATCTGCGCTGACGAACATTTATGTTTTGATCCCTTTGGAGATTTACAAAACCATTTTCAATTATTTGGCGATGCACTCTTACAAATACTGAGCGAGTTGGATGTCGTCTGTTTGGAAATCTTCGTGCGTACTCTCTGGCTGCTTCTGCTGCGTTTCCATTTACAAAGCCATACACCAAATGAATATCCGCTAACTCTTGATTGGAGAATAAAAATGGCATTTCTATAAAACTTACAGAAAAAAAACAGGTAAAAGAAACTAAATTTCGTGCATTCACAATTGCAAAAAAACGTTTCAGGTTTCAACAGACAACAAAACTAACTGTCAACTAATTGACGTTTAACCTTATTCTGCTTTCAATTTCAAAAATATTTGCAGGCACAGCCTACTTCTAAAAATTATCGTGATACTGACTTTTTAACGTTATTTTATCATAAATAATTAAAAATGCATCGAACCTTAAAAATCGAAATATCTCAAAAACGGCAAACTATAACGAAAACCCACAAGAGAGCTTTTTTATGTTGAAAAGTGCGAAGAATCAGTTGTTTTATTCAAAAAGCAAAAAATTGCACTAAGAAAAATTTTTCGGTCATTTTAATACACTACAGATACAGTAGAGAGCGCCCTCTAGCGGCTACAGTAAAACTATGACCACGCTTCGTTTTGTCGTACCAAAAAACCCTAGTATACCAATTTTCACCGTTATACATCAAATATTGTTCGAAATATTTAAAAAAAACTATTTTAGAAAGTAAATTTAAACACCCTGTATTTCGGAAGCCATGCATTTTTCGACCCATGTTTTTATAGACTTTATGCATTAATTTTTAAAGTTTTAAACTGAAACACCCTGTATACCTACAGTATCAACTCCAATCTCTATTCTAAAAAGTTAGTTCAGATCTGTATTTAGCAAATATTTCTTATATTGTAATTTGAAGCTTGAAAGAAAAGGATTAAGGAACTGGTTGGGAATTGAATTAAATTGTTCAACAGCATGATCGTTGAAACCATGCACTACTATGAAGCGGCATAGTTAATTTTTTTAAATATGTTACATTTATATCATGAACAGAATGTTGGAAAATAAGGCGTTCTCTTGTAGAATCAGGTGAACCTGGAGTGTTTATAATTTTTAATAAAAAACTAGAAAAATGGAGAGTGCGACGCTCATTCATTTTAGACCGCTTAATTTCTTTATACAAATAGAGAGATATATGATCAAACCTGAGGCACGCATTTTGCACCTTCTGAATCCGACCTCCGGATCTAAGCAAAACACATAGACAAAATCGCAATAATTGAAATTGGAAATAATTAGGGATTCACACATTTTTTTTTAGTGATCTGTTTAGTATGTGACTGTTATTATACAAAACTTTTAGAGAACAAAATGATTTTTGCACAAGATTTTTTAGGTGATCTTTAAATCTAAGCTGAGAATCTAAAACTATACCGAGATTTTTTGTAGTTTCAACAAAATTCAATTTTGAATAATTAGTCACTATCAGCCTATGAAACGGTTCGAATCCTAAAAAAACATAAAAACATACGATAGGCAAATTACCTATTACATCTGAAGCTGGTATCTCTGCATGGACAAACTTGCTGGTCTTCATCAGTCTTGTCAGCGCAGTTTAGGACTCCGTCACATATTTTTGTGAAATCTGTCAGCTGCAAGTAAGCGCCGCAGCTGCAAACATCTGGTTCGTCTTCATTGTCGCCACAGTCGTTAATTCCATCGCAATAGGCGTGCTTGGGGATGCATTTGTGGGTGCCTGTACAACGCATCTCACTTGGATGACAGCCTGAAATAGATTGTCTTTTGAATGGTTTTATCACTCCCGAATCAACAGAAAGATGTACGCATTTCAGAATGAGCCATAAGCATTATATTAGATGTTATTCCTAAATAGTATAAGCAATCATAATGTCCAATATTATAATTGCTAGCCTTGGAATGATGCAGGAATTACGATCTCTCGACTTTGGTATAAGAGGAGAAAAATATAAACAGCAAAGCAAAAGCTTTCAGGAACCATCATCAATAGTACCCTGATAAGTATAGTCCCCCATGTTTTCTGGCGAACGGGACCACATACAGGGTGTTAAGAAAGTATGTAGACAAACTTTAACTATTGAATCCTTGGTTAATTTGAAGAATAAATGTTCATATGAACATGGGTCCGTAACGGCTTTCTTTTCGAGCTATAGCACTATCACTAAAGAAATACGAGTAATGTTACAAATACTTCTGTGAATAATGAAACGTATTTATTGAACAGTGGGTATAACCTATGATAAATATTGCATGCTTTACAAGCTGCTGAGGCTCGCATACGAGTATGTCCCAACTAGCAAATTAGTGCTATAAGCTTTTGGTAAAAGAACCGTTCAGCCATAAAAGTTCTCTATTGTTTTTGCCTGAACACCAAAATGCTGGCTTAATGTTGTGTGGAATGCAAATTTGCTTTCTGCAACATATTTGATCTGAAATGAGGTGTTTAAAATATTCTTATGGCATAGATATACAATACGTTATAGTACAAATTTTTAACTGTTGCATACACGTTTATACAACTATTTTATAGGGCATATTTGCACGTTAGTCAAAATGGTTATGTTGTGGCATCCATGGTAACGTTTATAGAACAAACCCAAGCCTTGTTGTTTTGCTGTGCAAATTTACTACTGTAGCCAACAAAGTGCTCCTGACGGAGGCACTTATACAACTGTTGTTTAGTAACTGTTAAAGGCTGTACATATGCTAAATATGTTGGTATACAACTTCACCATAACCTAACTTTCTGCTGTCAAATTTTTGGTCAAGGTTTTATCAACAATTCAAACAGAAGATACAGATCTGGTACAAATTCTGGGTAAATCATTCGACTCTGTCGGTATTTCATTTCAGACATTTGTCAAATTGTTGTATAACACCTGCAGGCAACACCAAAATATTCTAATAAACTAAAGACAACATGAACGATGCCATGACTATACACAACCACCCGCCATATTGGACAAACACTTATTCCTCTATTTAATATTAAATAATTATGTTTCACTTCGAAATTACAGATATAAAGTGCATTAGTGTAATTGTGTCTAAATATAGGATTTGTGGAAGATTTAATGCAGATAAGTTCAGTTTTCCATCTAGACATACTTTTTTTGATCATTATCAAAATATGATTCAAATACGAAGCCCGTAGAAAATGCGTAACAACTTTGCACGATAATCACAATAAAAGTTGCTGGGCAAGTAATTCAATAGCGCTATATCACAGTGTAGAAGTTTATCATACAGCTGTGTATCAAATTCACAATGGCCGATATGTAAGTAAACAAGAAGACTGTAATGTGTTAGTTATATATTCTTCACTTCGTCTATACAATACATAAGAAATAGTTTGGTTGCAATAAAGAAGAATCACGTAACAGAATAGTTGTATAGTTGACAAAAACTGAATCTTGCACTTACGCAAATGTCCTATAGCGGCTGCAAGAGGCTTACACTTTTGTTGTATATCTGTTACCTGCAGCCCTTATACAACCTCTTAAATGACTGAAGTGTCTTATTAGGTGTGCCCATTTCGCTTGTATAGCCGTTCTAAGAGGGTTTTGCCAATGTTCTTACAGTATACAATGCTGTGTTAGGAATACTGTATAATCATTCTTGCAACTCTAATAGGAGTGATAATTGTTAGTTGGGGTCATTTCTTGATTACTGAGCTGGACCATTATGACAATTAGTAATCACCAAAACTTGTAAATATTTGGAGTCTTGGAATGACCAGACAAGAAAACAAATATCTGGCAGCTGTCGAATTATTTGAGAAAATAAATTAACTCAATTGTTTTCAGATATGTCATAGGTGTCTAGATAAGCATAATGCTTAAATATTAAAAGTATTGCGATCAAAACAAATCAATGTCATTGAAAACAAAGCCGTTGCGGACCCATGTTCATAGGGAAATTTCGTCTTCAAATTGACCAAGGAATCGACGGTTACAGTTTGTCTACATACTTTAATAACACCCTGTATATTTGAAGTTCTTCTTTAATTTAGTATACGTTTCGGTCACAACGGTAACCTTCGATTCATGACACTTTTGACAATATTTCATTTATTTGCTATCCAGGTGACACTGCGTTTGCTTTTTCTTTTTAGATTAGTATACAGTGTCTACCATAGTCTGAAAGGTCCTTAAGATGGCACCACGCAAGATCAGCATAGACCAGGACTGCCTGAGGTAAGCATTGCCGCTCCTAAAAGAACGTCTAGACTTCAAAGAAATGCGAAAACCCACCCGGAACTGTTGAAACACACCGGTTAACTTTTGTGAACGCTTCGACTAAAATGTTGCTACTGCTTTTTTGTGAATCTGAAATCCAAGAAATAGCACTTCAACATTTTAAGAGAACCATGTTGTTTAAACTGCTGTCTTGATTCGGGTGTAAATGCCGTCGTCGGTTGGAATTTCTTTCTAACGTTTCGCTAGCACGAGTGGCAAGCTTCTTCAGAGGTCCTTCCATTACCGATGCTGGATGTAGACTGACTTGCGCAGGTTGTATTTATACCGGAGGGTAGGTGACGTGGCTTGTTCCGCTTTGGTTGACTTCGGGATGTCGATCGGCACTGCTCGGGTGTTTCTGAGGATCGGGTGCCAGATCGGGTTGAGTCTGAGGGTCTCTTCCTTCCTGTTGAAGTTATCTAGATATTTGTGAATCTCGATAGCTTCCCTGACAAGTCTATTTTGATAACCGTTGACTGATAACAGCAATCTGCAGCTCCCAAAGTGTATCCTCTGGTCCCCATTGCTTAGTGCACGTTCAGCTACCACAGTTTGTCCTAGCCGGCAATTTGCTTTGTGCTCCTTGAGTCTCGTTCCCATTGATCTTTTCGTGGTTCCAATGTATACTTTGTCGCATGAACACGGTATGCGGTAGACTCCTGATGGTTTGTTTGATCTTCTTCGAAGGCTTGAAGATTGTTTTAATGTCATGTGTCTTCAGGACTCTGCCAATCATGTTCAAGACTCTTGGTACAATTGGAAGATTCGCTTGAGCAGGTGGTGGGACGCTGTTCGGTTTCACGTGGCCCATTGATCTTTCGATGTCCCTCTTTCTGTAGCCATTTGCTTCGAACGCAGTTTTCAGGTGTTCAAGTTCTGTCTGGAGGTTCTCCGGTTCGCAAATCCCTCGAGCTCGTTCTGTCAGGGTTCTGATGACTCCACACTTCTGACTTGGGTGATGATTGGACAAAGCGTGCAGGTATCTGTCTGTGTGCGTTGGTTTCCTGTACACTGTGTGACCCAGTTCGCTACCTCGCTTCCTGACTAGTACGTCCAAGAAGGCCAGTTGTTCGTCACTCTCTATCTCCATTGTAGATTTTATGCTTGGATGCCGATCGTTGAGGTGCTGCAGAAACTCGTTTAGCCATGTTTTCAAATCACGAAGGTGTCGTCCACGTACCGGAACCAAATTGCTGGTTTGTTCTCCGATGTCTCACCCGCCTTCTTCTCAAAGTGTTCCATAAAAACGTTGGCTATGACTAGGCTAAGTGGACTTCCCATTGCCACTCCGTCTGTCTGCTCATAAAAGCCCCCGTCCCATACGAAGTAGCTTCCAGTGAGACAAATTTCAAAGACCTTGCAGATGTCAGAAGGGAAGATCCTGCTCACCAGATCTAGGCATTCCCTCAGCGGTACCTTTGTCAAAGGATGTCGTCGGGTTCAACTACGATGTCCTGGATCTTGCGCTCAAAGTCGGTGGAATCCTTGATGTAGCTGGTACTCCTTCCCACGTATGGTTGTTGCAGGGATGCCAAGTGTTTCGTTAAGTAGTACATCGGCGATCCGGGAGCACTGACTATTGGTCCCAACGGAACATCTGCCTTGTGGATCTTGGGCAGGCCGTAGAGCCTTGGTGGAACCGCTTCCGTCCTCGTAACGCTCTTCTTGGTGTATTCTGGCAGTGATGATAGCTTGATGAGCCGGTTGGTGAGACGTAGTCGGGCTTACGTTGGATCCTTCTTTAGGGGTCTAGAAGTTCAATAATCTTCGGAAGAACGGTTGCATTGCCTTTGTCGGCTGGGAGTATGATGATATCCTCGTTGTTATTCAAGTTCCGTAGTGTCAGACCTTCCCTTCTTGTCAGGGTGCTCATTGTCTATTAGATAGGTTGGAGAATATCAATTAGATCTCCCCTTCAAGGATGTTTAGCCACATTGGGTCACAGTTCTCAGACGAACTAGGAAGACAATTGTTGTTTAATTTCATATAGGCTGATATCTTTACCTTCCTTTTGTATTTGTTACCCTCTTTGTGTAGTATTGAGACGTCTCCCCATTTTAGCCTAACAATCGATCGGTTATTGAAATTTTGCTAAGGAAAACGTCAATAACTCGTTTTCTTGTTTTTAAGAGGCAAAGTAACGCATCTTTTCATATTTTCGTGACCAATCACAAAATAAACATTGGCCATGTTTGAATTTTTACTATACTCCAATTCTAAAGAATCACAACTGATAGACTTTAAATATAGCTTTGCTTTTTGCTTAAATGAATATCAATCTACAAATTAGGCACTTCCTCCGTATTCTTACGAAAAGTGTAGCAACGCCCGTAAATACGACATATACTGAGTGACACCCAGTTTAAATGGTTTTATTTTAATAAAAGTTGGTGAATGTATTTATCTTACTGTAAATAACAAGTGAAAAAATTTTCAGCCTTATCAGTTGGACATTCCGATTTTTATATTGCTTTTTTTTAATTCACTAACGCTCTAAAAATGAATATTTCAGCCGCAGTAAAGAATCAACGTTGGCGGATTTTGGTTCTTGACATCCTTTACCATCGATTACGATGCCTAGAGTACGGAGACCTGTACGATTTCTTCAACTTAGTGAGTTTGATAGGGGCCCTGTAGTGGGACTTCGGGAAGCTGGACTTTCTTTTCGGGCAATTGCAGTTAGAGTGCAAATAAGTGTAGACACTGTGGTTAGGTGTTGTCAGGCATGTCTTCGAGAAGGCCGTACGCAAAGAGCAAGGGGCACTGGACGCCGCCATAGAACAACAGACCGCGAAGATCGCAGCCTAAGATTATTGGCCTTAAGGGACCGTTTCTCCACTACCAGGTCCATTGCAAATGAGTGGTTTGCAGAACACGGAAGACCTATTGGCATGCGAAGTGTTTACCGACGAATGAGAAGTTTAGGCTTGTTTTCATACCGGCCACACTGGGTCCTTCCTTTAACTGGAGGACACCGACGTAATCGCCTTGAGTGGTGCAGACAACGGTCACTCTGGGATCAGGAATGGAACAGTATTGTCTTTAGTGACGAGTCTCGATTTTGTTTAGGCATGCACGATGGTCGTGTCAGGGTTAGAAGGCGACGTGGTGAAAGGAGGAATCCACAGTTTTTTGTTGAAAGACATGTTCATCACACTGTTGGAGTTATGGCTTGGGGTGCTATAGCTTATGGTTCCAGGTCACCTTTAATCTTCATCAGGGGTAACATGAACGCGCAGCGTTATATCCACGAAGTTCTAGAACCCCATCTTTTACCCTATCTTGACACCCTGGCAGATCCAACTTTCCAACAAGATAATGACCGACCACATGTTGCAAGAGTCACAATAGACTTCTTTCAACATAATGATGTCACATTGTTACCATGGCCACCAAGATCTCCCGACTTATCCCCAATTGAGCACGTGTGGGATATGATGGGTAGGAGATTGCTCAATTTACAACGTCCTCCTCAGACTCTAGAAGCACTTCGAGAGGAGTTGGTGGTTGCCTGGAATGAGATACCACAGGAGGACATTGACCACCTGATCAGAAGCATGCCTAGGCGCGTTGGAGAATGCGTAGCACATCAGGGTGCATCCACACATTATTAAAGGTCAAAGGGCTTTAAAGCAGTGCAATCATTTTGAAATTTTTATCATTTACTTATTATGCTTCATTAAGTACCTATACAAAATTTTATTAAAATAAAACCATTTAAACTGGGTGTTCGGATTTATATGTCACTTAGTATATATTTCAGCCATTGACAAATCCGCCCATAATTTGATCATTATTCTTTACCTTACATGACTCCGATATTCGCTGTATAATACACACATTTTCAGCTATCGAATTTACTTGGTAGGAATAATATAGTTCATCCTACATTTTTTTGCAATACAATTACACATGTTAAACCCATGCACATTCACCTTTTTTTTGTAAATTTAACTAATGATTTCTGGTCAACGTGGCCAAACTTTTGCTGCAGCACAAATAAAAGCTTTTTGCAATGTATTTTTTAGGTTTTATCATTGAAACTTGTCTTTCATTGGAGTTAGAGACGAGAATCTGGTCTTACTACGTCGTCATGTAAGGTTGTTTGTGAGAAAATAAGAAGTAAACAACAAGCACAGGTATCTTTCTCAGCGTATTGATAGCAGTAATACAGGAAGGGCTTCTGAAGTCCCAGTATGAGTGTTTCGTCAACTAGATCTAGTGTTAGAATTTTGAGCCTCATAAAACTTTTGCTGTAAGGGTCGAGAACTGCAACGTGCATTCCAAATCCAAGAAATAGCTGACAGTTTCTAGGACTTTGACGCGTTTTTTATACTTCATGTCTTTATAAACAATTTGTCATACTGGTATTATTTCAGAATATAATTTATAGTTAGTAAGCAAAGATCATAGCCCTTTAATGACTTATTACTCCATATGAATATGAACAAAGTAACCATCGAAGGCATATGGTTGCTATGTTTTTTCATCATGCCAGTGTCATCTTGAAGCTCCGCTGTTAACATGTATTTGAGCTTCGAGATTCGATTTGTATCAAAGTAGTGAACTGCAACAATGCATCACTGCGTCACCTAGCACTCCACAATGAAACCCACCGAACCCGCGGAAGGAGGCACGATCGATACCCGTCTTATTAGAGCTAAACTTATAAACTGAACCGGTAGATGGTGCTTACCGTGTCTGTCCTTGCACACCTCATCGTGTTCGTCTTCGCCTCCTCTGCAATCTGGCAACCCATCGCATGTCTTCTTGTTATTTATGCATTCTCCTAATTCACATCTGAATCCGTCGTGTAGGAGGCATGGCGGCACCGCTGCTGGAGCGGGAGAGGTTTTTCGTCCTGCTAAAGATTTACTTATCACTTTCCTATATCTAGAAAAATTATATCTTCTAAATAAATATCTTCTGCTGATTACTGTCAGAACTAGTTAGTCAGGGCGTGTAAGTAAATGGCTTTGAGCATCATTTGAATAAAACGATCCCTGATCCCTGCTCACAAAAAATAAATAATGATAGCGAAAAACTAAGACAAACCTATAAGGCAAAGAAAAAGGAATACTAAAATACTATTTCTACCAGGAAGAAATTGTTCTACCCTGAAAACGTAGTACTTGCAAAACAGAAAATATGGAACATCGTAGTAGTAGTCGTAGAAAGATTTATCTAGCACATTTGGCGACATAAACAGAATAATTGTAAACAACTTAGAACAAGTAAATTCAAGCCCTATGGTGTATGATGTAAATGCTGGGCAACCTATAATTGTAGATTTAACAAGTGATTTCTCAATTTTACTTTAATTTTGTCAAAGTTTTCTGGTCTTTTACCTCTGAGTATAATTTATTATATTCAATCAACCCTTGATGGGATACAGATTTGTAGCAGATGTTATACTTTTTGTCATTAAATGGAAGTTATCTTTATTTCTGGTATTATATACATGATGGTCGACATTTGATGATGTTAAATTAGTTAGACTTGATGGAAATATATTATTTTTTTACTTTATAAATTATATCATTACAAGATATTTGATAATTTTTTTTACATTGAGCCATTTTAATTTGTTAACCATTTGCCTAATTGGAGTATATTTATCTTTATTTAGTATTATTCTCATGCATTTATTTTGTGAAATTTGCAGTCTTTCAAAAATGGAATTATTTGCTAAATATAGAATAGTCGAACAGTACAAGAAATTTGGAAGAATGATGGTATTATAGATAACTTTTCTGCTATATGAACTCAGACATCCAGAAACTGTCGATAAATATCCCACTTTACTACTAATCTTATTTATATATTATTTATATTTCATAATAAATATCGAAAATTAATCGAGAGTCAACAAAAACTCCCAGGTATTTAAAATTTTCTACGAATTCAATATCTTCACCATCAATATTCAGTTGAACATTTGTACATTGTTTTTTTCCGATTAACAAGGCTTTCGTTTTACTTGTATTTAATTTTAGTCTGTTAGATGCTAACCATTTTGAGACAAGTTTCAAGTCTTCATTTATATAAGAGATACCAGACTGAATATTTTTAGTACTTATATAAATCATAGTGTCATCGGCGAAAATCTGAATTTAGCATTTTTTGACTATGGAAGGTAAATTTATGTATAAAATAAAAAGAAGTGGTCCCATCGTGAATGAAAAATAGGCAAGTGCAAAAAGCCTGTCTATTCCCACCTTGGTGACACTGCCCAGATAATGAGACCTCGAAATTTTTATTTTGGTGCGGAAGAAAATCATTGAATATTTACAAAGAATAAGTGGAAAATTAGAAGAAATTCATCATTCCTTCTGTACCAAAAAAGCAAATCTTACCGATTACGTTGAGTATTTCACTCCTAAACGGACCAAGATCGCTGAAGCTGCTCTTAGTGGAGTTGTGACAAAAACCATTTTCTCTTGAAAACACAGCTACGGGATACCATCCACTTCCAGATTCGCATACTATAGTTCCAATCCACTGGGTAGATTCCTATAAGAGTTTTGTGCCGCAGCAAAATTTAATGAAGAACGCTCCCTTGTTGCTGATCTTTTATTATTGTTGGTTAGTATCACTTAACCCTTAACCTACCATGTGAGTCATCTGGACGCAAAGATCCATGTGGGGTCTCACAGACCACTAACTGGGCAGATAGTAAAACAAGTTATTTTTTTGAAATAATTTATTATTGTTATGTATAAAGCACTACGTGTAAATGAGGAAAAACGGTTTGTTTCTAAACCGGTTTCTGACAACAACAAATATCTGGAAAACTATATCGTAACTTGACCTAATTAAACATGTATTCTTAAAAGCTCACAAAAAAAACACTAGCGACCTAAGTAGGAAAATATGTATCTGAAACATTTTTTAGGAACCTAAGCTATATAAAAAAATAGAACTCAAAGGAAAATAACACTGAAATGCTCCTCTAGCAGAAACTAATAAACCGTCTTTTTTGCGCATGTATTGCATAGAGTCTTTGAGCACTGCAAGCAAATCGCCCGTCTACATTGCACACAGAGATACTTTGTCTTGCGATGTTTTGCTGCAGGACACAAGTAGCATGCTTTACGTGTTGTAAGCAAAAGCTCCCCGTCATTCTGTGTTTCGTTTGATTCCGGTAGCCTCAAAATTCTACTAATATTGCTGCGTATTTCACGAGGCACTCGATCATTTGCTAATCTTCTTTCCATGTTTTCTCGAACTAATTCAGCAGCCAGTTGTTCGGCAAATACTGATTTATCTTTCATCACCTCATTGTCTTTGAAAGCTTGGTGTAAAATAAATGAATTTACAATAGATACATCAAGAATACGGAAGAATATTGCAAACGGCCATCTACGTGTTGGCCGGCTTGTCGAACTTTTCGAGCATTTCTCGTCGAGTGTATCTACACCGCCTTGGGTCCGGTTATAAAAAGAAATTATTTCTGGCTTATTTCAGGGTCAGTGTAGCGCCTATTGTGCATAGAAGAAACTAATAGTGTTGCTTTTCCTTTCTTTCCCACATAAGAAACCAGAGTCATATCTTCACGAAATCCATACAACGATGATACTTCTTCTCTTTTCTTGTTTGGTAAGAATTCTGTTGGTACTTCTCGTTTATTTTTCTTTAGTGTACCTACGTAAGTTAGTAGATTTTTCATTAGCAGGTCAACAAGTTCTATAGAGCTGAACCAATTGTCAGCAGTTATATTTCTGTTACTTCCGAAAAGAGGTTTTGCAAGACGTATCACTGATTGTGTCGGCTTAGAAAATCTTCTTTCTTCTGCAGGCAACCCAAAGCCATCATAGTCTTTACCAGTATACAGGGTGTTTCAGTTTATTGTTGCATAACTTTAAAATTCGATAGAACTTTTAAAATTAATGCATAAAGTCTATATAAACATGGGTTGAAAAATGCGTGGCTTCCGAAATACAGGGTGTTTAAATTTACTTTTTAAAATAGTTTTTTTTTGAATATTTCGAACAATATTTGATGTATGACAGTGAAAATTGGTATACAATGTTTTTTTGGTCCGACAAAATGAACCATGTGCATAGTTTTACTGTAGCCGTTAGAGGGCGCGCTCTACTGTACCTGTAGTGTATTAAAATGACCGAAAAAAAATTCCTAGTGCAACTTTTTCCTTTTTAAATAAAGAAACTGATTCTTCGTAATTTTCTGCATAAAAAAGCTTTCTTGTAAGTTTCCGTTATAGTTAGCCGTTTTTGAGATATTTCGATTCTTAAGGATCCATGCTTTTTAATTATTTATGGGAAAATAATATTTTTTTACATTTTCGATTTGGGCATTACAAGTAATTAAGATGATCGGTTAGATTGTGTTTTTGAACACAGCAATAATTCCTAACTCCAAATAAACACAAAAAAAAACAGAATATTAATTTGTTTAATTTTCCAATATTATTTTTAACAAATCAAATTAATTATTTACAACTAAAATGCTATTGGATAGTTAGGACAAACATACAAAATCTAAAGTAGTTGCTCGAAATGTAAACCCAATTGTTCAATACACAATTCACATCTACGGATGATCGAACGTGGTATAGCATTATTCAAATAAGGCCTTATTTCATCACATGCATTCCTGATTCTGTCTATTAGCATATCTCTTGTGGTTACGGGAGTCTGGTACACTTTTTCTTTTAGAAATCCCCACACAAAGAAATCTAATGGATTTAGGTCAGGGGATCGTGGAGGCCAGGCGACTGGTCGTCCACAGCCGATCCGTCTTTCTGGATAATTTTCGTCCAGCCAGTTTCTAACTATTCTCGAATAATGAGCTGGACAACCATCAAGCTGGAACCAGGCCAATCTTCTTGAATCTAACATAAAATCATCCCACATATTTGCATGTTCAGCCTTTAAAAATTCCAAGAAGGTCGCAGCATTTAACCTTGCAGGCAAAAGGTAGGGTCCAAATAGTCGATTACGATAGATACCAATCCACACGTTCACACTAAATTCATGCTGAAAATTTCTTCCCCGTACTGCATGCGGATTTTCATGCGACCAAATATGTTGATTATGAAGACTTACCACTCCACGTCTAGTGAAGCATGACTCATCGGTCCATAAAACGTTACTTAAAAACTCCCTGTTATTATCAGTTCTATCAAGAATCCACTGACAAAATGTGATTCTTCGTTCTCCGTCCCCTGGCTGTAATCCTTGCACAGGTTGCAAATGGTAAGTACGTCTATGGTCATTTCTAAGAACACGGTGAACATAGCTTGCTGAAATTCCCAAGGCACCAGAAACTCTCCTAACACTTGACGTCGGATCTCTATCAAACTCACGCAGAATCATACGGGTAAATCTGCGCTGACGAACATTTATGTTTTGATCCCTTTGGAGATTTCCAAAACCATTTTCAATTATTTGGCGATGCACTCTTACAAATACTGAGCGAGTTGGATGTCGTCATTTTGGAAATCTTCGTGCGTATTCTCTGGCTGCTTCTGCTGCGTTTCCATTTACAAAGCCATACACAAAATGAATATCCGCTAACTCTTGATTGGAGAATAAAAATGGCATTTTTATAAAACAGGTAAAAGAAACTAAATTTCAAATTGCAAAAAACGTTTCAGGTTTCAACAGACAATAAAACTAACTGTCAACTAATTGACGTTTAACCTTATTCTGCTTTGAATTTCAAAAATATTGGCAGGCGAAGCCTACTGCTAAAAATTATCGAGATACTGACTTTTTAACGTTATTTTGTCATAAGTAATTAAAAATGCATCGAACCTTAAAAAACGAAATATCGCAAAAACGGCTAACTATAACGAAAATTCACAAGAGAGCATTTTATGTTGAAAAGTGCGAAGAATCAGTTTTTTTTATTCAAAAAGCAAAAAATTGCACTGAGAAAAAATTTTCGGTTATTTAAGTACACTACAGATACAGTAGAGGGCGTCCTCTAGCGGCGACAGTAAAACTATGCCCATGGTTCGTTTTGTCGTACCAAAAGACCGTTGTATCCCAATTTTCACTATTATACATCAAATATTGCTCGAAATATTTGAAAAAAACTATTTTAGAAAGTAAATTTAAACACCCGGTATTTCGGAAGCCACGCATTTTTCGACCCATGTTTATATAGACTTTATACATTAATTTTAAAAGTTCTATCGAATCGTAAAGTTGTGCAACAATAAACTGAAACACCCTGTATATGTAGGCATTGTAGAGATAACTAGTTCTGGCGCCTGTAAGGCACATCACCTTTATCCCGTACTTACAGGGCTTGTTAGGCATATACATTTTGAAATGGATACGTCCTCTGAAACTAACAAGCATTTCGTCAATGGTTAGTGATTCCTCTATACCATAACAATTTTGACAATTTTCAATAAATTTATAAAATATTTCCGAAGTTGCTGCCGCTGGGTTTTCTTTTTCACGAATCGATCTTGTAGCTTGGTCATCAAAACGCAAAGCAATCAAAAGAACTGCGAATCGATTCCGGCTCATTACTGCTCTGAATATATCTCGACCAGTTCCATCAGTAGCAAATATTGTATCGACACTTTCATGATTGGAGTTGAATACTGATGTGTATATCAACAGGCCAAGAAAAGCCTTCAGCTCAATTATATCGGTATCTCTAAGGTGACTGATACAATTTGTGTCTGCGTATCTTGAGCGCATTTGCGAAAGCTACTGATTTGTCCATTCGAGAATAGGCTGTAGGATTTCCGCAGACAAAAGTAAATTCCATATGGCTATGGGACTTGCTTTGTTGCCTAAATCACGGGCTCGTCCTCTTATCACAGGAACCTTTGTCACCAAGTTGTGCTTCCTAGTTTGCGATGAAGGAACAACTTCGGTAGAGGACCATCTAAAGCGGTTTTTGCTATAGAAGTATTTATTGTCCGTCTGACGGGTGTCACTTTCTTGGTCACTATCACCGCCTGTCGAGAAGTCTGAGTCCGTGTCGTGTTCTGACGCAATATTTTCGTCCTCTGCAGCACTATCTATATCACTGGCAGTGTCGTCGACTTCACTGTACCACTTGAGGACAGTTTCCTCAAAATTTTTGTCACTTAACCGAGCTCTTTTCGATGGATCGGCCATATCGCAATTTAAACAATTTTCACATAAACGAACAGGTGACGTCTGGCAGACCCCTACACACCAAATAATGCCTGTGTTTCGTCTTCAAATAAAGCTAACGCACTGAGCATCGTATGACTTGTCTGGCACCAATAGGCGAGGGATTAGGTGACCCGATTGGCCAGGAGGCGTTACTACCGTGGAAGATACCGGACAGTTTATTTACCGTGGGGTCTGTCAGACTCCACATGATCGGTTAAGGGTTTTAAGACAGCAGCTTACCTGACAAGCTGGAATATCTGCATTTAGACATCTCCCTTCTCTCTCACAATTTTCATCTTGTGCCAACGGTACATACTCAACTCTATCATTGTGCAGCCCAGTAGCTAGACAATTTTCCCTTCGACGTGCAGTATTTCTGTAATTGCAAAACGCAATGTAAAAGCGTAAATCGATTAGAAACAGAATTAATAAAAATCAACGGTTACCTGTAGGTGACAGATGTAGGTCTAACGTATCTGCTAAAGGTAATATTTTGTGCCAGACTCAGTATTGCACCAATATTGTTGGCTACCTCCTTTGCCCCTGTAACCCTGATGATTTTTTCATGTGGCCCTCTAACTCCAATGTTTTCTTCTCCTTTTCCAACTAGAGCGACAACGTAGTTACCCTGCAAACTAAAAAAATATTGCTTTATTTATTATGTTTTATTTTACTTTTTACTAGTCAATCCGAGGGTGAATTGGAGCTAGAAGAAAAATGCATACCGATTTCTTGTCTGTCCCATTGAGAGCAGGTGGGGAGTCGATTGTTTTTAATAATAGTAATACTGTTAAGAATAATAATAATAAGAATTATAGCTCGATTGTACAGCAGTTATCTTATTTATAGGACAATTAAGTGAAAATAAAAAGTTAAGAGAAATCAAGCACAGTGGTAAAAAGAACAATCAGTTTGGCTTACGTACATATAGGTCATCTTAACTAATTCTATAATGGAACATATAAATAGGTCACAATAACAGATAATGGCGTTTAGGAACATACACATAACGTGGAAGCTAAAAGATTGGTTGTGGGTCGTGCAGGTTTGAACATGATATGTTACGCTAGCTAAAAGCAGGCACATTGAAATTTATTTTGGACAAAATTTCAGATCAATCAATGTCGTCATTTAATACTTTAAAAAGAAATATTGCAGCTGATATATTCCTTTCCAACTCGAAAGCTTTAACATCGGAACGCTCACATAATTGCGAGTTACTGATACCTTGCTGCAGGTAGATCCCCTTAGATTTAAAATACAAAAGTTCATAAATAATTCTTTGAACTTTTTCCATGTTAGCATAGCAGCAGTTACCAAAGTTAAACTGGGCACGACGTAGGATACCTACATAGAAACTGCAAAGTTACTACTATTATACTACTACTACTATAACCATACGTCCCTATACAGGGTGGCCCATCCATGTGTGGACGGAATATTACTCATAAACAAATACATTTTGGAAAAATTCATTTATGGCATGTTATAAATGACATTTGAAGACACATTTCTAAAATATTGGCAATTATACAGGGTGTCCCAATTTTGACCTACATACAGATCAAAGTTGTGATTTTTTAACTGGAATGTCTCAAATTTTATTGTATTTTTGGATTAACCAATTCAAAAGAAGAAAATTGATATCACATACTACGGGATTTTTGTAATTAGCTACTGAGATGTAAGGTGTTTTGTCCAGAAAAACCGTCCACTTCGGCAACCCGTCAATCCGCCATTTTGAAATTTGGAGTACTGAATTTTGTATCAAAAAAAACTTACACACTTTATCTTATTTATTACTTTGGCGAATTTTCATTTTTGCTCATACAGGGTGGTCAAAAACGCGAATTCTACTTTTTTTCAAAAATTTCAAATGCATCACCCTGTATATTTGTGTAAGTTTGGATTCAATTTTATAAGCTTTTTTTTGATACGGTTTGATTCAGATAAAATTGCTAGATTTTGAGTTATTAAGCTTTTAATAGAACAACACACCAAAATTAAGGACAAAAATCACATCATCCATGGAAACAAAAGACAAACAGTGGGCTAGTTCCATATTGCCACTAAGAAAACAGATTTGACGTAAAAACTAATAACGATCAGAACAACATTCAGCTTCAACAATTATCACTACTCAAGAGCTAATCTACAAAAACTGCTCGAAAATATCATGTTGAATGCACAGCCGTAGTCTTTGAATGAATGACCGTTGCACATCCCTCAGCATGTGTTCCCTTATGTTCAGAAAAGCATCCTTAATCCTTTCCTTCATATTTTTCGGGGTAGATGGTGGATAATATCTATAAATCTATTGCTTAACGTAGCCCCATCGAAAGAACTCTATCGGTGTCATATCTGGTGATCTAGGAGGCTAAGATATAGGCTAAGATATAATGCGAGATGCTAGGAAACTATTCCATTGGGCAACAATTTACTTGTTTCCAACGATGATGTGATATTTTAAGGAATTAAGCCGTTCCATAGAACGTGCTAATAACTGAAAAAATAGCCGTAAAAACCTTATGTGTCTAGTATCAAAAAAAGCTTATGAAAAATTGAATCCAAATTTGCAAATATACAGGGAGATGCATTTGAATATTTTGAGAAAAACTACAACTTGCGTTTTTGACCACCCTGTATGAGCAAAAATTAAAATTCGAAAAAGTGACAAATAAGATGTGTGTAAGGATTTTTCGATACAAAATTCAGCACTCCAAATTTCAAAATGGCAGACTGAGGAGTTGCCGAAGGGGGGGGGGGTTCTACACAAAGCACCTTATATCTTAGTAGCCAAAACCCTATAGTATGTTATATCAATTTTCTTCTTTTGAGTTGGTTTATCCAAATATGCAATAAAGTTTGAGGCAAAAAATAACAACTTTGATATGTAGGTCGAAATTGGGACACCCTGAATACTGGCCAATATTTTAGAAATGTGCCCTCAAATGTCATGCCGTTTTTCTTTGGCTCTCTGCTAGCTTAATGACATTCTATTGTTGGACAGTTCACTGCTGTGCTGTCACTCTAGTTTGATAGAATTTATTTTCAATTTAGATACATAAGTAATTCCGACCTTGAGTGTTCTACGCAGAAGCGTTATAGAATAAGGTCTCAGAGTTGCAAGACCTGCAAGACCTTGGGGGCTGTCGAATAAAGTGGTATTTTAAATGTATATTTTTTGTGAAAATAGTAGTAACTGTTTTATAATTCGAAGTTTATTATGTTTCCATTAATTTCGTAAAAAAAATCAAATTGTGTGTTATTCAATAATATGTATCTGGCCTTGACACAAACAATTCGACTAAACTAATGAAAATAAGTATAACAAGCCATATACATAAATAATCATATAAAAGTGACTATGATTTATACTAAAACTACGAAGGTTGTTGAATTAAAAAATGTCGTCAAGTAGGTGGACTCTACACTTCCTGCGCAAAGCTGTCATCAGTTAGTTCGTAATAAGTTCGGGATCAGATAGCCGCTTCGAGAAAAAAAGCTAGCTACGGAAATTTATAACAAGAGTCGGCTAAACGAGCTCATACAATAAGTCCATAGTCCCCACTAATTTGGTAACATTATAAATTCCTTCTCTGTCTTACCGAAAGTATCGACCATCTGACAACGATGCTGAGTCAATCATGCTAGCGCATAGCGTCAGTCATACTGCTATAGCTCAACGCTAAGGGCACGTTTACATCGAGCGCGCTTCGCTTGGAGCTGTGCGCCTCACTTCATGTCAAGCGAACCTCTATGCGTTCGGGTTCATTCATATCGGAGGCGCTTCGCTTTTCATACCTCGACTGTTATTAAAACACACTTTATATTTAAAGACGCATTTTCCAAGCATTTCACCATGGCTCCTTCACGAGTTAAGAAGATATTACTACTCGAAAGTATTGCGTTGAAAGTGAATAGAAAAAAACTAAAACGATCGTGGGTGCATGAGATTAATATATGTAGGAAATCGTTCGGAGAATTCTATCACCTCTATCGAGATGCCAGAAAATATCCAGAAAAATTTTATGAATACTTGAGGATGTCAAAGGAATCTTTCGACCTTCTCCTAAGCCATTTGGATCCTTATTTATGTGGGATTGGAACCAATTTCCGTGAAAGGATTTCAGCAGAACAACGTTTGGTTATAACATTGAGGTAAGCCAAAATAAAATTATAGTGTTTATGAAAAACTGAGTTTTATTTTATTAAAAAATACATTTGTCCGAATAAAAATGTTACGCGTTATATCCTGAAAAAAAACTTCGCATAGGGGTGTCCAATTCACTACCTTCAGATACATTGTGTGTGGTCGGATCCGGATGTGTTGACTGTATCGGTATGTGATGATGGTATGTATGATTGTCCGAAGCGGAACTTGAGGGAGCGGGGAAGGTAAAGACACGTGCCGGAGGTTGTCCACAAACATTTTGTGAAACTTCACTTTCATGCTCCTCAACTTGCTGAAGAAGCAGTTCCTGAAACTTTAATCTTAGACGTAATCTTCTTGAAGCAGGAAGACTCTTCATGTATGGCAAAAGACTCTTTAGGAACAAAAGATCATCATCATTTTCTTTAAGTGATTCAGACTCTAGGAGCTCAAGTTTCCGTTTTTCTAACATTATTAGTTCGCTATTGTCGTTTTCTGTTGCCAGTTGCTTCTTTCGCTTCTGCGCCCCCTTCCGAGTTTCAGAAGTAGAAGATAATCGGCTTGCAGACCTTGAAGGTGCTTGACTGCTGGTCGATGGCGGTGACAAAACATTGTCAGAATCTTGCGACTCTACGTCCTGTATATCATTATATTCTAAGTCAATATCTTCTGTGACCCTTTCCGCTTCTATATTTGCATCCCTCAGTGGGGTTTGCAGATGGTCTTTTAAAAATAACAAAAGAGAATAATATTGCCAAGGACTTGCTACAGCTTCATTTGCTCCACTGCCTGATCTGGGTTTTTCTAACTTTTTTGTTTCTCTGTTAAAGTAGTCCCTCAAGTATTTCCATTTATTTTTAACAGTTTGAACTGAAACAAAAATTGCTATTAACACCAAGCATATTTTATGTATGTTTGTTGCAGATTTCTTGCTACTGGAGAATCCTATCGATCCCTAGCTCTACACTTCAGATTGGGGGTGGCAACAGTTTCAAATATTGTAAATCATACATGCATGGTAATATGGGATACCATGAAAAGTGATTACCTACCAAAACCTACACAAGCAACGTGGCACAATAAATCACAACAATATTGGACCAAATGGAATTTTCCAAATTGCATAGGCAGTATTGACGGCAAACATATTGAAGTTAAATGTCCCTCCAATACCGGATCTCTATACTATAATTATAAGCAATATTTTTCAATATTACTTCAAGCCCTAGTTGATGCTGACTGTAAATTAATTGCGGTTGATATTGGGAGTTTTGGACGCCAAAGCGATGGAGGAAATTTTAGGTCCTCGTCGCTTTTTCGAGCATTAGACAGAAAAGAGCTTGACGTCCCACCTGATCAATGCTTACCACAAACAAATATAAAAGCCCCATTGGTTATAGTAGGCGATGAAGCTTACCCTCTGCTTCCATACCTAATGAGGCCATATCCTAGAAGAAATTTAGATAATTCAAAAAGAATTTT